TAATTAAATTTTAGTAATTAAATGTATACCAATTATACTCACAATCGTGTTCATTTAATAACAACATTGAATCGTTACTGGACGTGCCTGCTTCCCCATCAAAAACTGGTTGATGTGTCAATGGACGCATATTGTCATCATCATTCTCCATTATTTCGGTGACACCTGTACATAAAATAGGAAATTAATAAATATTAAAAATTTTCTAAATTTAAAGTATAATTTCCAAATAATAATTTTAATAATAACCTTCCAGGTACAGAATTTCGGTGCCATCTGTAAATAAAATAGTAAATTAATAAATATTAAGAATGTTTTAAATTTAAAGTACAATAATTGTTCACAACGCTCTTTGCCAACATTGCTTTTTTGACATAAACTTGAAAAAAATTATAAAAAAAGTTTATGAATGTTTATAAATATAAATTTATTGAAAAAATTAACCCGACGAGTATGTGGTTGGGCATGTCATGCCCCACATTTACTTAAATCCTTTTAAATCCTAAAATTTCCACTGTAACGTTTTGAAACTTGGAGTAGCTGAAGTTATGGGTTCATAAGAGAAGATGATGGTATGGTGATAGTGTTATGTAAATTATATTTTAAATTACTTGGACGTAAACGTCAATTTTGCATATTTTTGGCGAATTTTTTTTTCCTAATTTCTACTAAATTAATGACAACTGAATTGAGATATATTCTAAAAAGCAGTATTATGCTCCTCATTCACTAATATTTAAAGTCCTGCCTTTATAAAAGTGCAAATTTGATTTTATAAAAGTTTTAAGTTTTCATTGTTTTATTTAATCATATGATAAATCTTATGACAAGGAGTTGATTTTATCTTTATAAATAAATAAATAATTAAGGAAATATATTTTATTACATGCCTTTTTATAATATAATACCAGAAATTAACTTAATATAGCTTTATGTAACATTTATAAGCAATTTTACATTTTGGGCATGTCATGCCCACCACATAGTCGGTGTAACAGTTTCCCGCCACATACTCGCCGGGTTAATATTTTACTTTTCAGTTGTTCATTTTTTATTTTTATTAAATTTAATAATAATAATTTAACATAATTGTCTAATTTTGTAAATAATAAATTATTAAAAATTTAGTTTAATTTATTTTAATTCAATTTATTATTTCTAACGTATCCCTATTTTTTCTCATCTTTGATTCAATAATTGTAAGTCTGAATGCCCGTGTGGAAATAGCCCGAGTTAGCCATAATAAAGTTAGGTTTCTGGTCAGGGGCTAGCTTGTTTGCGATATTTCTAGATTCCAATCGTTAGGTACTTTTTTATGAAAATATAATGCACACTTACTGTAATTGTCTATTATTTAATTTTTAAATGTTATAAACAATTTTTTTCTACTTCATTTACTATATCCATTGTTAGTCTCCATCTTTAATACAATTTCTTTAAGAAGAGAAATATTTTATGAATAATAACTATTTATTAATATTATTTACCATTTTGTTGTTAAATTATTTATAATAATTTTAAAATAATAGCTGTAATAATAACCTTCCAGGTACAGAATTGAGTCATTATTGAAGGTGCTTGCTTCCACATCGAAAACTACATGATGTGTCAATGGACGCATATTTTCACGATCATTCTGAACTATTTCGGTGTCATCTGTAAATAAAATAGTAAATTAATAAATATTAAGAATGTTTTAAATTTAAAGTACAATTTTAAAATAATAATTGTAATAATAACCTTCAAGGTACTCCATTGAGTCGTTACTGAACGTAGTGGGTTCGTTGAACATCAACTGTCCTTGACACAATTTTGGTTTTCTGAAAAATCATTTCAAAATACTTATTGTAAAAAAGCGAAATATAATATAAAATAAGTAAAAAAGTATTAAATTTTAGCTCAACGCGCTTATAATAAAGTAGTCATTATAAAATAAGATTAAAAATTACAATTTTTTCAAAATCTAGTACAATAGAACCCAGTTAAGACACTGCCGTTCAATTCATTTTCCTACATAAAACGCATTTTTTTGCATGGTCCCTACCGAGTTATATATTAACCGGGTTCTACTGTAAATTAAAATTTTTTCATTTCTAGAAATTTACGAAAGTGACATGTTCCTTTTTTAATTTAATTACTTCGATTAAATTTAATAATTGTTTACATTTCAATGTTTTTTTTACATTTTTTTGTACTTAGACATACCTTATTCTGTTTTTGATGAATGGTTGCAAAAAACACAGATCATAATAGTATACCCAGCCAGTATTTCGATTTCTATTGTGCGTTGTGAAATTCGCCCTCTAACGCGCCCACTTATTAATTGGATCTAAAATAATAATTATTTATTTTAAAAATAAGAATTTTTTGTACGTAATTATGTAAATTAAATTTTAAAATGAAAATTTTTAAACAAACATTGCATTTGAATACTGTATTTAATGCCAAAAAATTTTTTTTTTAAATTTAAGATATGTGAAGAAAAAAATTACTAAATGTTTTATATCTACACTATTCAAGAAAAATTTAAATTTAAATACGACTCTAATTTTCTAATCGCCTGTATAATTGTTTTATATCAAAACTTACCAACAATGGTAAGGCCATGCCTTGCCAGCAGTTTAGATAAATTTTGCCACATTCGGTGCTTTGCATTATTGTCGTATATTTTTTGGTATTTTGGGTCATAGATCCAAGGATTGCTCTTGATGATTTTGATGAACAGTTTATCCGCAGCAGCGTCACTTTTATTTTTGTTCATTTTTTTTTTTGGAATTAAGCACTAATAAAATTTAAAAGTCTGCGAAATGCTGCGAAAGATGTCAAGAGAATGTTTCGAACGGTTATCTTAGGTTGCATTGCGCATTTACTTGTGCGCAATCTACTTCAGTACCGGATTCAAAAAGAATGTATCCCGGGGTAGAATGTTATTTGAAGGCCCTCAAATCTTGGATAACCTAAATGATAACTAAAAAAAAGGTTACGGATATTTATTTCTATATTTATTGATTATGGGTGATTCTACAAAAGAGGGAATTCTGATGACTGAAGCATGTTTTGTATATTAATTTTGGAAAGAATAATTTTACTTTTAATGGAAATTGTAAATCTTAATGGTTTCTATTATGGCACAGAAAAAAAACCGATGAAAAAAAATATGTTTTTGCAAAAAATACACAGTATGTGCTAAATTCTTATTCGTCTGGCATGTCCCTTTGGGAGAATGACAGTTCATATTGAGAATAAATATCACTTTTCAAATGTTTTGCGGAAAATTCATACTGAATTAGTAATTTTGAATAGTTGTAGATTACTAATATGGAAATAATTATGATGTTTCTCTATATCTTATTTATAAAATATCTTCGCGAAGTTTGTCCCCTGAATTTGTTATCATTCGTCTGGCAGTGCAAAACATGTAAAAATTATTAAAAATCAACATTCTGATGAAGTGACTGTTCGTTGTAGTTGTTAATTAAACTAAACTAAATGTGATACCAATCGGGTTTTATTGAATCTTCTAATCTATTAACCAAGATTTCTCAATTTGTAACGGAGATTGTGTTGTGACCAGACAAATTCTCATTCGTCTGGCATACATTTTTTAAAAAAATATTTTATTTTTCGGTTATTCTATAGACTTATGTTTTGTAGATTATTATTATTCTCTATAAGATAGTAAAAAGTCTCAAAAGTGCCAGACGAATGAGAACCAGACAAATGAGAATTTGGCATTTTTTGTTTAAAAAATGCCAAATTCTCATTCGTCTGGTTCTCATTCGTCTGGCACTTTTGAGATAGGATGTATACTATATCACTAAAAATAGCGTAAAACTGACAATTTTCAACTATTGTTCGATTTTCTGGTCTTAAAATAATCCTAATTAAATTTACAATTTTTCAGGGTTTACAATTTTTCAGGATGGCGGGATTTTTTATCAATAACATTTTCCGATCCATTTCTTTTAATTCACCGGTCACATATTTATCAACTAATCTCTGAAATTTGAATTTGAAAAAAATTTTTAAGCAGCTTTAATAAATAGCCAAGAAATTCTTGGTTTAATGATGAATTTCCAGGTGAATTTCAAAAATGCCGGTAAATTTTCCAATTCTAGGTGATTTCCCAGTAAACTCGCCACCTTGTTTTCATAGTTACTTGGTAGTTTCTTTCGATCAATTTATAACTTGGTAGACAAAAAGGTTACCACTAAAAAACACAATGCAAGCTTCCGAAAAAAAATCATTTTACAAAACAAGCTTACACTATTAAGTTGTGGATATTTCTTTCAGAAATGAATACTTTGAAGTTGAAGAGAGACGTTTCTTCTATTGCGGGGCCATCAAGTGCTATTGCTTATACTGGCGAACCATATTCAGCAATCGAGAAAATTGCTCGCAAGAAAGAAGTGGATAATGACTTTTATGACGTTATTGAGAAAACATTTCAGAGAGTTCCTAATGATAAACAAGCTGAAAAAAAAAAATGCTATAAATAATCAGTAATAAATTGTTTAAAAAAAAGAAAAAATTTCAACGAATTTTAATTTTTTTTAATATACAAATACAGAGTTTTTGAAATTTTGAAAATAATCCCTGACTATTCCCTGACTACCAAATTTCCCTGATTTTTCCCTGACTTGCGGCCACCCTGAAATAGAGATCATTACAGGGTAAAAAGTATTCTACCTTACGCTCTCCGGGTTAAAATTAATCTGATTAATCAAGATTGTTTGAGGTCACAAATTGCGAATTCATTGTCAGATTCGTAATTGAGGACTCAAAAAATGTTGCAAAAAAATTTTAAGCAAATCTGTTGGAATTAGAAAAAAATTAACCTTATTAGTTATTACTTCTGCAATTATTTTTATTTTGTGTTAATCTTATTTTATATTTATATTGTAATTAAGGGGCTTGAAATGATATTTATTTGTAAAATTTTTAGTTACAAAAAATATATATTTTTATAATTTGCTTTACATTTTAAAGGAATACCCAACTTAGTTTCTAATTGTGCATTGCGCCAGCATTGGAATTTAAATATTCCATCAGCAATTGAAGCTGATCAATTGGATTTCTTGGAATTCTCTCCAGTTCTGCATTTTCATTCTCTTCCTCATTTCTAGCTCTGTCATCTAAAATCATGAAAAATAATTATACAAGTTACTTCGTAAAATGTACAATTTTATCTGTATTTGGCTAATTTATTTTTTGATGTATAAACTGTTGCAATTAAAATCAGTTAAAATTTAAGTTTGAAAAATACTGAGAAAAATATTTTTTAAAAGTTTTCGCATGCCTTTTCTGACCTTAAAAATTATAATAAATATAAATAGGAAAAAAATTGAACATTTCTTAATATTTTAAGTATAAAAAAATCAAGGATGCAAGAAATCCTAACAATAAAGTACATGATTCGATAAAAAAAACCTTTCTATTAAATGAAAATTTATTTACATCAAAATTATTTTGTATCATTAATTATAGTTCAATTCTTACCAGCATTACGTCTAAATAGAGGGATGTCTATCCTCTCCCCTCTTTGCATCTTTCTTGTTAAAACAAAATTATGCAAGCAGATTGTGGCCAAAACAATTTTAATAGAAGTTTCCAAGTGAAAATTTAATGAATTTTTTAAAATTTGCCACATGGCCGTTAGAATTCCAAACGCAGCTTCAATTGTATGCCGAGCTCTCGATATTCTAAAAAAGAAACAAATTTAATGTTAGTCATTTTACTCTTTACTCGAATTACAGTCATAAATAAGTATTATTTTAACAACAATGTTATAATCAAAGCAAATACCTGTAATTATAATGCCTTTCAGCATCATTGAGCCGTCTTCGACGAGCGAATGGAGTCATTAACGAAGTTTGTGCAGTGAATATTTCGTCTCCGATAAAAAATAGGGCATTCTGATATTTGAACCTGGTAGAGTTGAGCTCGGAGGTATGTTTAATTCATTTCTTTGTAGGGCATCGTGAAAATCCGTATTACGGGACGATGCTAAGTCACTCTGAGAACCTGCGTTACAAATAAACGTAATTACATACAAACTTTTAATTCACAATTGCTTCGTAAACAGTTTAACTTTTCCCTAATTCTTGCCTGCAGTGGGATTCCGATTACCGACGGCGCTAAATAGTGCATTGAACTAAATAGCGCTAAAATTATAATTCTTCTTTGAACATTTGTTGTGAATACTAGTCATAATTAATTACCGTTTGAATTTTATTCAAAAATGTAAGTACTAGCGTGCAGATTAAAAAAGAAAATCAATTGACGCTATAAAATAAAAAATCGGTAGAGAATGTCTACCTAATTTGTTATTTCATAGCGCCAGTTCATTTCCTCTTTTATTCTGCAAAAATAGTACTTACATTTATTACTAAAATTCTAATTAAGACTAGTATTTACAATAAATGTTCAAAAAAAGAATTATAATTTTAGCGCTATTTAGTGCAATGCGATATATAACGCCGTCGCTAATCGGAATCCCACTACTGTAGTGGGATTTGAATTCCCTGAATTATCTTTGACATAGATTTTTTTGAAATTTTATTTTAATTATTAATTTCATTTTTATTTTAATCAATTTTCAGGGTATTAATGTAACCCTCAAATTTTTTTGTATTTGAAACAATTCTTACCACAGTCACCAGCTTCAACCCAAGTAAAACGACATGTAGCGTCACAAATAGTGAGAAGTTTGAAGCTATAAAACTGCTTGTAATTATAAAACAAAGTCCCGGTATGTGGAGGACATTTTATTGCAATTTCCTTTCCGTCTATCGCTCCAATGCAATGCGGTAAATCCCATTTTGTTCGATATCCGGCAGCAATCACTCTCCATTCTCTTGTAGTTCTATTTCTCAAATACCAAGGTGAGAGTTCCTCCCAAATAACTGTACAAACTTCTTCCATCATATCATATATTGTTGACCGACCAACTCGAAACAAATTTTGGGTCGTTCTCACACTGTCACCATTGGCAAGTACACTGTTAAAAACACAGAAAAACATACTCAAATAATATTGGGAAAATATTACGTTTGTCTATAAGGGGAGATACCGATTCATTTCCATTATATTTCGACCACAGTCATTGCTAACTAATTTTAAAAAATAATACTTCGTAGAAATAATTTTTAAGTTCTGAAGATCTTGAAATGAAAAGAATTTTATTAAAATTTTTACTATTTAATGCAAAATTTGTATTTAAAGTGTACAAAGGTATTGAAAAATGTCTTTTTTTTAGGAATTAGGAAGTATAAGAAAAAAAATTTAATTTCCGGTAAAACTGTAAAAAATTATTTTGGAATTTGTTGATGATAACTAAAATTAATATAATTAATTGATAAATTCTTTTAAAAATATGAAATAATACATAAAAATATGATTTTAAAGTTTACCTGCCAAACAACTTAAATTTATCATTTTTACAAATTACTTACTTATTCGATTTTTGAATGTCTATAACGTCTTTACAGAAAAATGAAAAAAATATGAGCTTTCGTGATTATTTAAATGATCACTAAATACATGCACACCAAAAGTTTCACTTTGGTCTCGAACCTACTTTAAGAAATATTAACATTTTAAAATTATGCATTTTTTTTAGGTTAATACGTGATGTAATTTTTTCCAAGCTTGAATTTGTTTAGTGTAAATAATAATATTGAAGAAAATTCAACTTACAAAAATTACATGTATTAACCTTTAAAAGAATGCTTTATTTTTAAATAATAATATTTCCTAAAGTAGATTCGGAACCAAAATGAAACTTTTGGTGTAAGTGTATTTAGTGATAATTTTAATAATTCCGAAAGCTCATATTTTTCTATTTTTCTGTAAAGAAGTTACAGACATTCAAAAATCAACTAATTTAAGGAAATGGTAATTTTATTTTCCATTTTTTTTATATTTATCAAGAAAAAAGAAGAAAAGTAGGGGAGAGGGCCCTAAGGTGGTCACCCATCTTTTGAACGACTGTAGATTTTAAATGGAATTATATATAAAGGTCAATAATACGGCGTTTGAAACTTTATCTTATTACCTAACTTCCTATCATAAAGTTTTTTTTATTTCATTAATAAAAAAAAAGTTATGGCACTTTTTAAAAAAAGTTGAAAATTCGACTTTTAAAAAAGTGGCCCCAAGGTGGTCACCATACAAAAATTCACTAAAAAAGTTTTAAAAAAATGTAAAAAACGTATTACTAAGTTGTTTATTTAATATTAATTGTTTTTCAGGATCACAGAAACATATTACATATTTTTTTTGCACTTTGTCCTTTCGTCAAAAATGATACTTTTTGTGTATGTATTAGATAGGTAAAATTTTGAAAATAATTCTATTTCATTATTATTCATCATAAAACTTAAAAATTGATAAAATTCACATTCACAGTGATAAATGTTGCTAAATATGGCGTATAAACACATTTTCATAAAAAATCAGAAGTGACCACCTTGTGGCCAAAAAAGTGTCCACCTTAGGGCCAAGACACAATTTTTTAAACGTTAATGAAAAAATTGTTTAAAGCACAATATTAATTATATTCACTTGGAATATTATTGTACGATATATAAAGATAATTATAACGATTTTTACTAATTTAAAATGGTTAATTTCGATGATTTTAACACCCTGAGAAAAAAATTTCTCGATCATTTAAAAACAGAAATTTTACGACGTTCACGTTACAAAGAGACTCATACGACTATTTACCTCAAAACTTTACTAAAATCTTTGTCTTCTCAAATAATAACAATAACAAAAAACATTTGAAGATACTAACTAATATACAAAAATTTTCTTAGGGTGACCACCTTAGGGCCCTGACCACCTTGGGGCCCTCTCCCCTACATAAAAAATCTGAATGATCATTGAATAAATTTCATACTTTGTAAGTTTTTATTTCTTTAATGTTTCCATTTTCTCATAAGTAATTTGTAAAAATGATAAATTTAAGTTGTTTGGCAGGTAAACTTTAAAATCATATTTTTATGTATTATTTCATATTTTTAAAAGAATTTATCAATTAATTATATTAATTTTAGTTATCATCAACAAATTCCAAAATAATTTTTTACATTTTTATCGCAAATTAAATTTTTTTTCTTATACTTCCTAATTCCTAAAAAAAGACATTTTTCAATACCTTTGTATACTTTAACTTCACATTTTGCATTAAATAGTACAAATTTTAATAAAATTCTTTTAATTTTACGATCTTCAGACCTTAAAAATTATTTCTACGAAGCATCATTTTTTAAAATTAGTCGGCAACGACTTTAGTCGAAATATAATGAAACAACTGCTAAAATTTTTAACTATAAATATATAAAGTATGTACATATTCTTACTTTAATACTAAACAAAGTCTAAGTCTTGAGGGCAAGGGCTCTCTAAAACTTGTCTTTTGCAGTCGAGGGCCAACTAAACGATGCAGTGTTTCAAAATCATCTGGAGTCATCCTGGTCATGTGGTAAAACTCTTCATGGTCCTGATGCATGTAGTATAAGCATAACCGTTCATAGACACCAAATAAATTTCTCATAGCCGGCATAATATGAAATTTCACCCACCAATGTCTTAAAACGGGCGAATCGTCATATAATTGTAAAAACAATTGTACTACTTGCATCCGTTGAGCGATGACATTGATAATGGTGACAAAAACATTCATATTTTTAATAGTCTGAAATGATTATATTTATTTAAAAAAAATTTTAGACATTATTTCACAGAGTAAAATCTTTATTAATTATTGCGTTTGACAAAAAATTTTAGCAGATTGAGTTTCAGGTTATATTAAACGGTTAACACAATATAAATATCTTCCTTTTAAAATTGTATTCGCTTTATAGAAATTAAATTTTTTACATAATCAAAGTAAATACAAAACAAAATACTTACATTTACCGCAATACTTAAGCAACCTTACCTGGTTCAATGCATGCATAATTTATTGGAATATAAATATTAATATAAAACGAAAACATCACAATTAAAAATATAAAAAATTAAAAAAAAAACAAGAAACTAAAAACATTTTTAAAACTGCTCAGAATCACATTTAATTAAAATATAATTGATGAATATATAAACATAACCTTATTTTAAAATGTACGCGCATTGATCACGTGCATAAATTTAAAAATATTTTTCATAATGTATAAATATTATAAATCCAAATGTTACTTACGTTTAAAAGGAGGTCCGATATTATTAACAATTGCTTTTTTTAAAATATGTAACACTATATATATCTCATAAATCTAGATAAACAATATTTTTCACGATTAAGCCACTGAGCTGTGCGAGTACCTTTACAAAAAGTAAATTCCTCTGAACAAGAGGAACATGGAACGGACTTTTTCGTTTCGTCAAGTTGACAACTAGCTAAGCAAGAAAATTCTCTTAACAAGCTCTTTAACCAATTCTTGCAAAGCTGATCTCTTTAACATTTTCTATTGTGGACTCATCCTCCTAATCTACGCACCGGAGTCTAATACGCTAACTACTACGCTATTCGCTCGCTTGCGGATGTGAGCATAACAAAACCCATATACAGTACCGCTAGGGAGCAAACAATTTTAGCAACTTATATACAACAATAAATAATAATTTAAAAACAAATTAAATATTTTAGCATTTTATGAATATTATGTAAATGAATCTAGTGTTTTATATTTATAAATAATTAGTTGTATACTTTATTTATAATTAAAAATTTTTTTTGAAACTATTCAAAATAATTTTTTTTAATTTGTTTAACTTTCATTTATACATTACAAGTAGGTCCCTAAAGGTTAATTGATGAATTATACTTAAATGCCATGTAAAATTTATACAAAAATGGTTTTTATTAATTAAAATTGAAATAATCGAACTATTAATTAATTATCAACTTGAATTATTTTTAAAAACTTTGACTTACCTTTTTATGAATTTTTCGAATGCTAGCAATACAAATCTCACATTTATATATATATATATATATATATATATATATATATATATATGGGACATTCCACGTCAACACGGACAGAGCTCTAAACAAAAATTGCTTTGATGGATTTAAACGTTCTAGGGCTTAAAAGATTTCTACGTTCATGTACTTTAAGATGCCGATGGGCGTTTTTTGCAAAATTCCATTTCCGATGCCAATAGAACTATCAAAAGTCAAAAGGTCCAAAAATCTCAAAATACTTTTATGAATTAAAAGCAAAAAACGAGGTAAATTATTCTGTAACTCATTCTTTATCAGTTTTTAGGGTTCCCGAATATAAATCTAAAGTTTTTTTTTTAAAATCCAAAATGGCGAATTCAATATGGCGGACAAAATTCAAATTTGATCAGGTTCGATTAAAACTTGTTACTCGGGGGTTTTTAGGGTCGCTGATTACGAATCTGAAGTCACTTTTTAAAAATTCAAAATGGCGGATCCAATATGGCGGAAAAATTTTTTAAATTTGATCCGATTACCTTAAAACGTGTTACTCGGGGGCTTTTAGGGTCGCAGATTATGAATATAAAGTTACTTTGTGTTTGAGACTTCAAATTCATAATCAGATACGCTAAAAACCACCGAGTAACACTTTTTAATTAAATCTGATCAAATTAAAAAATTTGATCCGCCATTTTGAATTTCTACAAAGTAACTTCATATTCATAATCTGCGACCCCAAAAGCCCCCGAGTAACACGTTTTAAGGGAATCGGATCAAATTTGAAAATTTTTTCCGCCATATTGGATCCGCCATTTTGAATTTTTAAAAAGTGACTTCAGATTCGTAATCAGCGACCCTAAAAACCCCCGAATAACAAGTTTTAATCGAATCTGATCAAATTTGAATTTTGTCCGCCATATTGATTTCGCCATTTTGGATTTTAAAAAAAAAACTTTAGATTTATATTCGGGAACCCTAAAAACTGATAAAGAATGAGTTACAGAATAATTTACCTCGTTTTTTGCTTTTAATTCATAAAAGTATTTTGAGATTTTTGGACCTTTTGACTTTTGACAGTTCTATTGGCATCGGAAATGGAATTTTGCAAAAAACGCCCATCGGCATCTTAAAGTACATGAACGAGGAAATCTTTTAAGCCCTAGAACGTTTAAATCCATCAAAGCAATTTTTGTTTAGAGCTCTGTCCGTGTTGACGTGGAATGTCCCATATATATATGACGCTCCACGAGAAAAGGGACCTTATTTACTCTTGTCATAAGGTCCCTTTTCTCATGGAGCGTCACATATATATATATATATATATATATATATATATATATATATATATATATATATATATATATATATATATATATATATATATATATATATATATATATGAATAACAATAATATTTATTATTATTAATAATTCATATTTTCACATTACATTGAATAAACGTGAGAACCGAGTAAATTTGGGTAAATTATTTAAAATTAAAAAACTGAAATATTGAAATCGAACCTAAAATTATTTTAAATATTAGCACTGCTCATTAGCCCTGATTAGCACGTCCAGTCTGGACCAACGCGTGGTTCGATCGTCACTGGTCTGATTAGCCCATGGTCAGACAGTCTTTTCAGCGCCCAGTTAGAGAATAGACTGTCTTTCTGGCACCACACTAGAACCCAACAATTTTTTTACACGGGTTAATCTAGTATCTTTGGAACCTATAGTGTGTGAATTTATTTTGCGCTAAGAAGTTCACTACCAAACGTTGGGTCGTTAACAGGCAACAGGTTAAAATCGTACGTGGAAAAATTTTGTGGAAGTCTAGAGTCCAATGATTTCCCGATTAGCAATCAATCATCAAGTCTGTCTAACTTAGACGGTCCATCAAGTCCCGAATCAGTGACTTAACAGATGGGCTTATTAGAAAAATTCTAAGTCAAATAAGTCCGTCTAGTAAGGTGTTATTAAGACCGTCTAGATTTGGTCTAGGATGTTATACGCGCATGCGGCGATCTTAGAAATACTAGAAGACTAGGGCTGTTTTTAGCACTCACCCAGGGTTATCCCCGAGTTAAATATTATCCAATCATCAAAAACATTCTGATGGTCTAACCAATCACCATTAACCCGGAGTTAACTTGGGGCGAATGCCGAAAACAGCCATGATTTCATCACAATTGTCAACGTGATAAACTTAAACTGTCACTTTTGCTACGTAATCTGACATCGAAATATATTAATCTCTTGTATTAACAAATAATAACTATTTTACAAAAAATTCCTATTTTTTGAGTAGAAAATAAGATTTTTTACAATGTGTAAATGGAAATATTATTTTCGAAGTAAATTGTAGTGTTTTATTTGAGGTGGTTCAATGTAGACACACATTCTTCAAAATAGGAAAAGTGTAACTGGTTGAAAAAAAATTAAATTTCATTATTTAATCATAATAATTTGTGTTTGTAACGTGTGTATTAACTAGAGGAGTACTTCAGTTTTATTTTGATACAAAAACCTGATCAAAATTTGTGAAATTTAATTAGTTCTTGGACTTTATAAAAAACCTGTTTCAATGTAGCCCTACTCTCCCCTAAATTTGTTACAAATACTCAAGTATTTAATAAAATATAAGCATTTTAATGAAAAATAAGGAAATCTTAAGTAGTCGTATTAGACATTTTTCCCTTTTTTCTATAGTCGGACATCTGTCAGATATTTCGGATTTATAAAGTAAAAAAGATAATTTTTTAATTGCTTCCTGCTGGAAAATTGAATTAAAGCTTTATTAGAAGTTAATAATTTATAATATTTAAATCCTACACTGAGAAAAAAGAGGACGCGTTGCACAACTTCGAGTCATGTTGCACTACTCAACCCTGTGTTCTGCTAGACACTTTTCTGGGCGCGCAGCGTTCCTCTGAGTCGAGGCGAGCTGTATTTAAAGTGTATTACACGCTCTTTGGGGAGCGCTGCACGCCCCAGAAAGTGTGTAGAAGAATTCAGGGTTAAGTCGCGCAACGTGACTCGAAAATGTGATGCAACGTGCCCTCTTTTTTCTCAGTGTATAAGTTTTAATATTTATTATTAATTATCAACAAAACTTTGAGCTACTCATTGCGCTATTCGAAAATGGTTGCATCTATAGTCGGACACCATGATTTTTAAAATATTAAATAAAATATTTCTTGATTAATTATTTTGTAAAATAACACTATTTTCATAAAATATAAACTTCATACGTTCGTTCAGTATATACTTTAAAGTAATTATCACAATGCATTATTATTTATTTGACAAAAAACACGAAAGTGTCCGACTACTAGTACTGTCAGACTATACCCGCATTTACCCTATATTTACATACATATACTTATGTATATTTAAAAAATGTATTAAATTATTAAATATATATGTTGTTCAACTGTCGAATTTTTTTACTTTAATTATGAAAAAAATTTAAATTTCTATTATCCGAACCCGGCCTTGCTTACACAGAGAAAAAAGGGTACCTCAGATTCGTAATCAGCGACCCCAAAAACCCCCGTGTAACAAGTTTGAAGTCAATTGCATTACAATTTAAAAATTCTTTTTGTAAAAAAATTACTTTTTAGTAATTTTTTAAGTTTAATTTTTTAAGTTTTTAATTAGTATTAAATTAAAAATTTTTTTTTAAAGTATTACTTTTGGATTAAAAATACAGAAAAAAAAGTCAATTACTAGTACAAAATATTATGTTGAAATCTTCATTAAACCTAAAATATTCTATAAAAACTAGTTTCAAATTAATTATAATTAATTAAGTAATAACAATAGTGCATAGAATTAATGTTACCAATTACTGGTAATTAATATTTCCGATTTTTTACCATATCAGTTTAAGAAAAATTTAGATTAAAAAAAATTTATCAAATTCCCAATGGGAAATTTACAACTGGCGTAGTACTGCGCCAGCACTGGCAGCACTGGCGGCAAGGCTGAGAGCCAGCACTGGCATGGCGCTGGGATGATAACGCCGTCTGGCGCTGCCGAAGTACTGTCTGTCAGTGCTGCCAGACAGCGCTGGCGCAGCACTGCCGCAATAAATGCCGTATTGTTATTAATTAGTCGTAAATTCATAATTATAAATAATTTAACAACAAAATGGTAAATAATATTAATAAATAGTTATTATTCATAAAATATTTCTCTTCTCAAAGAAATTGTATTAAAGATGGAGACTAACAATGGATATAGTAAATGAAGTAGAAAAAAATTGTTTATAACATTTAAAAATTAAATAATAAACAATTACAGTAAGTGTGCATTAGATTTTCATATTTTAGTACCTAACGATTGGAATCTAGAAATATCGCAAACCTATGAAAATAAACAAAATTGCTGACGAGGGGAATCGAACCTACGACCTACGGACTAACAGACTAACGCTCTAACCACTATGCTAACGACACATGTGTACAGTAAAGAATTAAAATCTCAGTATCATTCAGACATACAATTATTGAGTCAAAGATGAGAAAAAAATAGGGATACGTTACAAATAATAAATTGAAATAAAATAAATTAAACTAAATTTTTAATAATTAAATTAAATTACTTTACTTATTGCATTTAA